TCCGTCACCTCATGTGCATCACCTCATGTGCATCACCTCATGTGCTTCACCTCATGTGCATCACCTCATGTGCGTCACCTCATGTGCGTCGCCTCTTGTGCATCACCTCATGTGCATCATCTCATGTGCATCACCTCATGTGCATCACCTCATGTGCATCACCTCATGTGGGTCACTTCATGGGCATCACCTCATGGGCATCACCTCATGTGCGTCACCTCATGTGCGTCACCATATTTGCGTCACCTCATGTGCTTCACCTCATGTGCATCACCTCATGTGCATCACCTCATGTGCTTCTCCTCATGTGCATCACCTCATGTGTGTCACCTCATTTGCATCACCCTATGTGCATCACCTCATGTGCTTCACCTCATGTGCGTCACCTCATGTGCTTCACCTCACGTGCATCACCTCATGTGCGTGACCTTATATGGATCACCTCATGTGCATCACCTCATGTGCATCACCTCATGTGCTTCACCTCATGTGCATCACCTCATGCGCGTCACCTTATTTGCATCACCTCATGTGCTTCACCTCATGTGCGTCACCTCGCATCACCTCATGTGCTTCACCACATGTGCGTCACCTCATGTGGATCACCTCATGTGCATCACCTCATGTGCGTCACCTCATGTGCATCACCTCCTGTGCATCACCTCATGTGCATCACCTCACGTGCGTCTCCTTATGTGCATCACCTCATGTGCATCACCACATGTGTGTCACCTCATGTGCGTCACCTCATGCGCATCACCTCTGTGCTTCACCACATGTGCGTCACCTCATGTGCATCACCTCACTTGCGTCACCTCATGTGCATCATCTCATGTGCATCATTGATGTGCATCACCTCATGTCCGTCACCTCATGTGCATCACCTCATGTGCATCACCTCATGTGCATCACCTCATGTGCATCACTTCATGTGCGTCACCTTATGTGCGTCACCTCATGTGCTTCACCTCATGTGTATGACCTCATGTGCGTCACCTCATGTGCATCACCTCATGTGCATCACCTCGTGTGCATCACTTCATGTGCGTCACCTTATGTGCGTCACCTCATGTGCTTCACCTCATGTGCATCACCTCATGAGCGTCACCTCATGTGCGTCACCTTATGTCCGTCACCTCATGTGCTTCACCTTATGTGCATCACCTCATGTGCGTCACCTCATGTGCGTCACCTCATGTGCATCACTTCATGTGCATCACTTCATGTGCGTCACCTTATGTGCGTCACCTCATGTGCTTCACCTCATGTGCATCACCTCATGAGCGTCACCTCATGTGCGTCACCTCATGTGCTTCACCTCATGTGCATCACCTCATGTGCGTCACCTCATGTGCATCACCTCATGTGCATCATCTCATGTGCATCATCTCATGTGCATCACCTCATGTGCGTCACCTCATGTGCATCACCTCATGTGCATCACCTCATGTGCATCACCTCATGTGCGTCACTTCATGGGCATCACCTCATGGGCATCACCTCATGTGCGTCACCTCATGTGCGTCACCTCATGTGCGTCACCCCATGTACTTCACCTCATGTGCTTCACCTCATGTGCATCGCGTCATGTGCGTCACCTCATGTGCTTCACCTCATGTGCGTCTCCTTATGTGCTTTACCTCATGGGCATCACCTCATGTACATCACCTTATGTGCGCCACCTTATGTGCGTCACCTCATTTGGATCACCTCATGTGCGTCGCCGCATGTGCATCACCTCATGGGCATCACCTCATGTGTGTCACCTCATGTGCGTCACGTCATGTGCGTCACCTCATGTACGTCACCTCATATGCGTCACCATATTTGTGTCACCTCATGTGCTTCACCTCATGTGCATCACCTCATGTGCATCACCTCATGTGCTTCTCCTCATGTGCATCACCTCATGTGCGTCACCTCATTTGCATCACCTTATGTGCATCACCTCATGTGCTTCACCTCATGTGCGTCACCTCATGGGGAGGAGGGCGCGAAGGATCGAGGCGAGTTGAGGGGGGGCGCGAGGTCCAGAAGTGGCATGGAAGCACGCGGCCCCTTTTGCCTGGCTCGCTCGCTTCTGACGTGCTCGCGGCGCTGCAGCGGAAGGCCTTTGCTGAACTGATCTGCCATCGCTAGTCGCGATTATCACCTGCCACTGCCGCGAGACGACGAAGTCGGATGAGTGGAAGAGGCGCGGAAGAAGCGGAGGCGCGGAGATGCATTTTCCGCAGGGAATAAGCCGAGCGGGCCCTGCTGAAGCGCGCGGAATGGCCGATTCCTCCGGCGGAAGTGGCACGGCATTGAGGAGGAGGCGGTGCTGCTGAGCGCGAAGGACGCAACGTACTCTGATCCTTCGAGGGTTTAGGCTCCAGTTGACTCGGTAATTCGCAGCTCATCACTACTAGGCCCGGTTTATCTCGAACGGCAGCACGAGTATCGGGTCTCAGGCTACTCCCCTGGCCATAGAACTCCCTCCCCTTGACAGAAAGTCGACTGCATCAGGTGCGTCCTGACTCCTGTCGTGACTGAAGGTGGCACGGGCCTCCCCTCTCACCCGCTGCGTGCTCCCTGCATGCTCCAGTGCTGTAACGTCTGCGGACGGAAATTACCCTAGAGATTGTAAACGCATTCCGCTGCGCCTCTGGGTAAACTCGTTTTAAACCGTATGTTCCACGCCGTTAGGGGGAAGAATTCAACGTGTGCATTTGTTCTTCCATGCGGAAATCATTCAGAAGGCGACTGAAAATCATGAATGGCCCAGGGAAATCCATGGCTACTGAGGAAGTTCAAATCCAGAGGAAGAGATGCTGTTGTCGCCTCACCCCATCGCCCCCTGATGAAAACTAGCGAATCGCGACGAAACTCGCGAAAACCATGCGGAACCGCAATCTCACATCGTCAACATCTGGCGTTTGCAAACTTCGTACACATTTGCCATGCAATTCTTTCCCAATTGGAGGCTGGGATCGGTCGGATCCGATCCGATCCGACTGCTCTCTCCCAGCCTTGGACTTGTTGCGGCTCCAGCGGTCTTGCGCTGGCAGTTGCCTTGATCTTTGCGTTACAGCTGTACACTGTTTGTACAGCACAGGCATGCACATGCATGAACTTCTCCAACAGTGGTGCTGCTGACACAGCATGCCTCGCTATTGTCAGAATCTCTAAGAGTCCAAACCTGATGCTTGTTAGATCTAAATGTTTCGCGCAGCTCACACATCTGTACCTGTACGACAAACGCCTTATAACCTCACACCAAGTCACAGGGGTAGATTATCTCAGGAGAATGAAGCAGAAAGTTTTTGCGTTGTTCCATCAACGTGAGGCTCACACAGTACCACTCTGACGTTCCTCGGTGGTGGTGTTGTGAGGTCTATTCTATTACCTTCGAAACCTACGTCCTTCATTGGGGGGCGAACTGTGGCTGACGTACCGGTACCAGTTTCAAACTTGCTCAGATTTACCATTTGCGTACAATAGGAAGCGGCAGTCAAACCATATTCACTATATGCACCAAACAGGACGTTTTGTATGCAACGACTCACGCCGCGCCCACAGCCTCCACCCTGCCCTACCTTGCTGCTGCCGCTGCTCTCAGCTGCGCCATCAGCCTTCGGGCCGCACGGTAGGGGGGCATGCCAGTGCGCCCGTGGGGAGGGAGGGATGGGGGGCAAAGGGGGGAGGGGGCGGCGGAGGAATAGGGGGAGTGTACGGAGGGAGGAGGGTGACAGTTGAAGCATGCGGCAATGAAGGAGACAGGGGGTCCAATCTGCTGCTGCTGGCTGCCGCTGCTCTCAGCTGCGACATCAGCCTTCTGGCCGCGGGGGAGGGGGGCATGCCAGTGCGGGCGTGGGGAGGGGGGGAAGCAGGCCAGGGGGGGGAAAGGGGGGAGGAGGGTGAGGGAGGGGACACCGAGGGGAGGGAGGAGGGATGGGAGGAATTGCGGGGAGGCGGGGGGTGTGGCTTGACATGGAAATAGGGGTCAACGGTGGGAGGGAGAGAGGGGGAGGAGGGGAGCTGAGAGGAGGGGGAGGAGGAGAAAGGGCGGATGGGGACTGGAGGGTGACCCGTGGTGGTGAACGATGCAGGTGGGGTGGAATAGGCGTCATGGTGTCCGGTCTGCTGCGGCTGCTGCTGCTCGCTGTGGCTGCGGCGGCTGCTGTTGTTGCAGGCGCTGCGCTCGCTGCAGCTCCGGTGTCGGTTGAGAGCATCAGAGCGCCACCCATTATTGCCGCTGCAGCAGCAGCTGTCAGCATGAGGGGGGGAGTCAATGAACCACCTCACGCGCACAAGGCTGTTGAAAGACACGCGCCGAACGTGCGTTGGCGTTTCCCCTGCTGAGTTGTTACTGCAACCAGACCTGCTCCGACTTAGGCAAGAGCGTGTCCGAATCAGGTCCGGCCGAGCTTGACCCTTTGGTTCGGGAAAGCTCAGCTGGCCTGGGTTGAAGCCAGAGCTGTATCCTGGGCTGGTTCCAAGGCTAACAGCGCGGTTTGGGCCAGTGCTATGGGACAGGTTCGGGCGCAGGGTAGGTTCGGTGTGTTGCCGGACGAGCATACGCCTGGGAAATGCAGCGATTGATGGTGAAGGATGGGCGTGGGAAGAGCGAGTGGAGGGGAAGGTAGGGGAGCGAGGGGGAAATGGCACGGGGGAGGATTGGAAAGTTGCAGAGGCAGCAGCCGCGAGCGCAGAGGCGGGGGGCGGGGATCGGTTAAAGGCGGTGAAAGGAGGAGAGGAATGAGTGGGGTAAACGGAGGCCGAATGAAAAGAGGCCGGAGCAGCAGCAGGGTCGGCAGAAGTAGAAGGGGAGGTGGTGAATGGAGAGGAGGAGGTGAACGGAGGGGTGGTGGACAGAGAGGAATGAACGGACGAGGTAGGGGATTTGAGCGCGAGGCCAGGGCGAGGCAGGGAGGCAGTGCAGGTGGAGGTGGGATGGGAGAGGGAGTGGCAGGCGGAAGGGGGAGGGACGGGGCATCCGGTGGGCGTGAAGCGCAACTCGTGATGGCATGGCATGTCATTCTCAGGCTCAGGCTCGGAGCATCTGTGGGGCATAATGCGCAGATAGTGACGGCGTGGCATGCAACGCTGCTGCTGTTGCGAGTGATGCTGCTGTGGTGGCGGCCGCTGCTGCCACCGCTGCTGATGATCCTGCTGCGACTGATGCTGCTGCTGCTGCTGCTGCTGCTGCTGCTGCTGCTGCTGCTGCTGCTGCTGCTGCTGCTGCTGCTGCTGCTGCTGCTGCTGCTGCTGCTGCTGCTGCTGCTGCTGCTGCTGCTGCTGCTGCTGCTGCTGCTGCTGCTGCTGCTGCTGCTGCTGCTGCTGCTGCTGTGCTGCTGCTTCTGCTGCTGCTGCTGCTGCTGCTTGCTGCTGCTGCTGCTGCTGCTGCTGCTGCTGCTGCTGCTGCTGCTGCTGCTGCTGCTGCTGGCTGCTGCTGCTGCTGCTGCTGCTGCTGCTGCTGCTGCTGCTGCTGCTGTGCTGCTGTGCTGCTGCTGCTGCTGCTGCTGCTGCTGCTGCTGCTGCTGCTGCTGCTGCTGCCTGCTGCTGCTGCTGCTGCTGCTGCTGCTGCTGCTGCTGCTTGCTGCTGCTGCTGCTGCTGCTGCTGCTGCTGCTGCTGCTGCTGCTGCTGCTGCTGCTGCTGCTGCTGCTGCTGCTGCTGCTTGCTGCTGCTGCTGCTGCTGCTGCTGCTGCTGCTGCTGCTGCTGCTGCTGCTGCTGCTGCTGCTGCTGCTGCTGCTGCTGCTGCTGCTGCTGCTGCTGCTGCTGCTGCTGCTGCTGCTGCTGCTGCTGCTGCTGCTGCTGCTGCTGCTGCTGCTGCTGCTGCTGCTGCTGCTGCTGCTGCTGCTGCTGCTGCTGCTGCTGCTGCTGCTGCTGCTGGCTGCTGCTGCTGGCTGCTGCTGCTGCTGCTGCTGCTGCTGCTGCTGCTGCTGCTGCTGCTGCTGCTGCTGCTGCTGCTGCTGCTGCTGCTGCTGCTGCTGCTGGCTGCTGCTGCTGCTGCTGCTGCTGCTGCTGCTGCTGCTGGCTGCTGCTGCTGCTGCTGCTGCTGCTGCTGCTGCTGCTGCTGCTGCTGCTGCTGCTGCTGCTGCTGCTGCTGCTGCTGCTGCTGCTGCTGCTGCTGCTGCTGCTGCTGGCTGCTGCTGCTGCTGCTGCTGCTGCTGCTGCTGCTGCTGCTGCTGCTGCTGCTGCTGCTGCTGCTGCTGCTGCTGCTGCTGCTGCTGCTGCTGCTGCTGCTGCTGCTGCTGCTGCTGCTGCTGCTGCTGCTGCTGCTGCTGCTGCTGCTGCTGCTGCTGGCTGCTGCTGCTGCTGGCTGCTGCTGCTGCTGCTGCTGCTGCTGCTGCTGCTGCTGCTGGCTGCTGCTGCTGCTGCTGCTGCTGGCTGCTGCTGCTGCTGCTGGCTGCTGCTGCTGCTGCTGCTGCTGCTGCTGCTGCTGCTGCTGGCTGCTGCTGCTGCTGCTGGCTGCTGCTGTGCTGTGCTGCTGCTGCTGCTGCTGCTGGCTGCTTGCTGCTGCTGCTGCTGCTGCTGCTGCTGCTGCTGCTGCTGCTGCTGCTGCTGCTGCTCTTGCTGCTGCTGCTGCTGCTGCTGCTGCTGCTGCTGCTGCTGCTGCTGCTGCTGCTGCTGCTGCTGCTGCTCCTCGTCATTGTTGCTGCGGCGGCTGCTATTGCTGCAGGCGCCACTGCTTGCTGACACCATCATGCTTCGACTGAGGAACGAGCGTGTTCGACTCAGGCCCGGCCGAGCCTGACCCTTTGCCTCGGAGGAGCTCAGGTGGTCCAGGCTGAACCCAGAGCCGGGGCTGGTTCCAGGGCTGACGGCTGGGCTTAGAACAGTGATAATGGGCAGGGAGAGGGAGCGGCGGGCGGAGGGGGGAGGGACGGGGCATCTGTTGGGCGTGAAATGCAACTCGTGATGGCACGGTGTCTCATGCTCGGAGCATCTGTGGGGCATGATCCGCAGATAGTGGCGGCGCGGCATGCGACGCTGCTGCTGCTGCTGCAACAGATGCTGCAGTGGCGGCGGCTGCTGCAAGGGCTGCTGCTGCGGTTGATGCTGTTGCTGCTGTGACAGATGCTGCTGCGGTGGCGGCCGCTGCGGGGGCTTCTGTTGCTGCTGCTGCTCCGTGTGGCTGCGGCGGCTGCTACTATTGCTGCACGCGCCACTGCTTGCTGACATCATCATGCTTCGACTTAGGCAAGAGCGAGTCCGACTCAGGCCCGGCCGAGCCTGACCCTTTGCTTCGGAGGAGCTCAGGTCGTCCAGGCTGAACCCAAAGCCGGGGCTGGTTCCAGGGCTGACGACTGGGCTTGGGCCAGTGCTAATGGGCAGGAAGAGAGACCGGCGGGCGGAGGGGGGAGGGACGGGGCATCCGTTGGGCGTGAAGCGCAACTCGTGATGGCGCGGCGTGTCAGGCTCATGCCCATGCCCGTGCCCATTCTCATGCTCGGAGCATCTGTGGGGCATGATGCGGACTGAAAATATTGTTGGAGAGCGAACTGTGTGTTATGAATGAAGCGCGCTCAGTGGACGGGCCGCGCTGCTAGTAGTAGTAGTAGTAGTAGTTTGGCATTGTGCTGGTACTAGCAGCTTTGGCCCTAGTGCTACGACCAGTAGTGGAAGTTTTGGCCTCGAGAACTCCGAGTCCCAGGTAAGAGAGCGACGGACGCGAGCTCAGCTCGACTCACGCTGTTGAGTGATGGATCGATCTATAGGGGGTCCTGGTCTACCAGAAATGACATTTCTGTTCAACCCAGCGGCATGATATCCGGCGGCAACCGGCGCTGGCAAGAGGAAGCCTTCCTTCAGGGAGAGAAAGTTTCTGTGGGGCTTCCTCGTCGTTCGGCTCGGCGCCAACCCATAAGGCGGGGCTTCCTTTCTGTGGGCCCCCCTGACCTGAGGGTTAGGCGTTAGGGGAAGTCCGACTTCTGGACTGCCCGCCTGGCGCCCACGCTGGCACGGGCGGAAGGTACAATGTGGGCCGCCGCAAGGTGATTTTTTTTATTTTATTTTTTAAATATGTTTTTAAAGAAACACATGCATCGAGGGTGCAAGTGTGGCGCGAGGAGACCGCCGCCGGGCGGTGTGACTCGGAAACGAGGCAATTCGAGTCAAGTCGGAGTTTGGGTCACACAACATGGGGATCGTCACCATCTTTTTCCAAGTCGACAGAAAAAGGCGGGAAAGGGGGAAAAGGCGGAATCCTGAGCCGCGCTGTCCACGCGTTGCGCGGAAGGCACACGTGTCTATCTTTGTGTCCGACATTCGTGTCGGTGATCCCCGCGAGTAGGGAGCGGCGGAAACTGGATCCCAGCACTGCTGCGATTAACGTTTTCTTGGCGCATCCTTGGCAAATGACGTGAGTCAGCTTTATCACGAAGTGTCAAGATATCCTCTCCTTGACTACCAATCGCCACCATTTTCCGTGCGCGTCTCACAGCCAGTAACACTGCCTCTGGTTCCTGCCCTAATACCACTCTCTTCCTGGTACACTGTACAGTACAGCCACCTCACCCCATATTCACCCTCCCCAGGCTTGCCGAACTCTTGGGATGAGCGCGGCGTAGAAGTCTCTTTGGGTCGCGCTAGTCGCGCTCGTCGGACGAGCGGAATCTTATCCATCCTACCCCTCCCCTGCTCTCTCTCTCTCTCTCTCTCTCTCTCTCTCTCTCTCTCTCTCTCTCTCTCTCTCTCTCTCTCTCTCTCTCTCTCTCTCTCTCTCTCTCTCTCTCTCTCTCTCTCTCTCTCTCTCTCTCTCTCTCTCTCTCTATCTCTCGCACTCTTGATTTGAGATAAGAACAGTAGAAAAGCCAGCGATGCGCGGAAATGGCGCGTCGTTTCTTCCAGCGATGCGTGAGCCTCATCTCGAGAGCTAGCGCGTGACTAGAGGGAGCGTGAGCTGGCAGCGAATGACTGGATCACGCCAAATACGCTGAAGAGAAGAGGATCGAATCGGCTGCCAAGAGATTCACGCCCACTAGGCCAATGCTGCTGACCTTGCATCACGGCAAGGCCATTGACTGAGCTAGAAGGAGCTGGAAAGTGTTGGAGGAGGTACACCTAGGGCCTCCTAGGAGGAAAAACGAGAAATCGCTGTCTTCGCGTTTTGAATTCCTTCTGGAGGGTACAATCCGCCCACTCCTCGTCGGTGCGCGTCACGAATTCCTTTGGGAGGGTCGATATCCTGGAATACGAATTTCCTTGTATTCGTGCACCACCGGGGTCAGCCCTCCCGATAAATGTTCCACCAGCAGCTAGCAACAGTTTCGCCGCATCTTGTCGAACCAATCTGTGCGGCTGATATTTTCGGCGCAAACCTAACAGTTCGGCGATCTGATCTAATGCCATGTAACCACTGAGCAAGGCATGCGCCAAGTTAGGGCAAGGTTAGACCGTGTGTTAGGCAGTTGGTACAAGTATGCTGAGCTGAACCGGGATACGGGTCGACCGAACGGCCACAACGCGACCCTTGACGCCAGGAGCACTGAATGTGTCGTCAAGTTGCACTAGCGAAGTCGCGTGCGATACAAGCGACTGTCACTGTGTACAACCACAATGAGCGGGAAAGCGAGTTGTGCTGGATCGCAGATCCGCTGTGTTCATTTGCGCAGGTGTTTGTTCTGTAGTACTGTACAGTCATTCCCGACTTGCGAGGCAACGCCCAGTTGTCCTTTGGTGTATTGTTTTCTTGCGGTGTCACCTGGTGCACGTCGCTCCGTATCTGCAAATCACGCCACTATTTGCGCTTGTCTGTTTTGGCTTACATGATTTCGCGTGGCTTGCTCAGGAGATTTGTTCACATTTCAGCACTCGTAGACCGAGGCTACGATGAATGCTTACTGGCTCGACTTGTTTCACGGCAGTTATCCTGTAATACGTGCGACGCTAAAATTGATGTGTAGACGCAATGTTTATGGGTTTCTGAGAGCGGGGAATGTTGCCGCGTGCTTCGAACTCCCCTGTCACCAAGGCAGTATGTGCTTCCAAGTGTCTGGTAGGGCTGTACCGACCGCTTGACACCCGGTCTAACTTTGCTCTCACACCTAGCCTGTGGTAATTTTACAACCTGAAACAGAGCGGCATACTAATTTTTGTTTCCTTCTTGACCATTTATGAGTGCGTAGGCAGTACCTCCTTGTTCCTACGACCTAAACTTGGCAGACTCTATGCGGGCAAAAACTTTGAGCTCTAACAAAGCTGAAGTCGAGTTTCGTGACTCGAGAAACACTAAATCAAGCAGTAAGCGTTTCGTATAGAAATCCAAGTTCAATTTGTTCTTCAAGGGTATCCGGATCTGAACTTCAGGAGTTGTTTTCGGGGGGGGGGGGGGTGAATACCCTTTTGGCGGCGCCCCTACTGAAAATGCTGGATGTGAAAATACCACAGGCTGGGTGTACTTGTAGTAGAATAAAAATCCTAGAATAATTGGGCTATATATGCATAATTCTGGTCAACTGACAAAAACAATCAAACCCATTTGGGATTACATCAACCCTAAACTCGCAAAAGGGCCGCAAATTTAGGGTTCATGCCATTACGAATGCTAGCTTTTTCTTGCCAGCTAACCTGCTTGGACAGTCCACATTTTCGCTTGTGTTGTCGTTATGACGATTCAATTGCCACTCACTGCTACGAAACAAAATGTCACATGAAGGATTCTTTTACTTAAACCTAGGTGTCGATAAAAACGTCTAACTTCGCATTATTTCTTATGCGGGGATTTCTACTCTCCCAAAGGTATTTGAAATGCGTACGGTGAGAGAGTGCGTGGATTGTACCCTATACAAGGAATTCAAAATGCGAAGATGCGGTTTTTTGTTTTTTTTCTCGCTTCCTAGATTGTTCTTTCACGACAAGATGAGTTGACTACTGGAAATTTGTTGCCACGGACTGTCCACGAAACTTTTCATACTTTCGTGGACAAGCCCTAGTTTCATGGACACCACATCGAAGTTTCGCTTCTCCCGTGGACTCCGTCAATGCTTTCGTAGACTCCAGGCTTACTTCCATGGACACATGCGAATTTGAAACCAAAAAAAAAACAATACAGAACTGTACAGATGCTAGCGAGAGGAAAAAACAACATTATGGCGTAATCAAGTCCCTCGCAAATGATCGCAAGCTATAGTAATTTCAAGCAACCAAGTCCGCTAGCTGTTTCACGTGTTTAAAGAAACTCTTAAAGCGAGAAGTCAAAATAGTGAAGGCGGGTCCAACTTGAAAGGGCCTAGACGTCCGTTTTTGCGACTAAGGGACAAACTGCGACGGGGCAGAGGGTACACTGTCGAGAAATGCGAGCAGGGGAAATTGAGCGAGAAGAGGCAGTTACCTGATTGGTTGACGGGAAACACATAACGTACGATGGGAAACGTGGCTCGGGAAAAATCGCAAACAGCGCACCACCTGTCGCCCAGGCCTCACTGCTTGTAAGCTGCACCAAATGGGCCCAACTCGAATTTCAAGTTCACTACTCCGGCAAAAACGAGGCTGGGTTCCGATTTGTCGAAATGCTAACTGCGCGAATCTGTGGTCGTAAAATCTATCGCCAGTGCGAAATGTCGCAAGTGCAATTCCATTTCGTGGCCTACGGCTTGGTAAAAAACGCGGGCTGCTGCCTGCCCCTCCAAAAACATATTCACTGTTGGGTCGTTTCTAGTTGGGCCCAACTAGAAAGAGAGGTCACTATTATAACCTCTCGCTTTAAGCGATCCTCAAAATTCATTTGAATGGCTGTGACGAAGCTGTTTTATTCAAACGAGAAGTGTTGCAGATTGAGTAGGCAAAATCTCGCTACAAAATATTCACGTTGTAGAATAAAGATAGATATTATGGTTACAAGGTTAATAGAGCTCAGTAAAAATCATAGTAGTCCCAAGATAACGGTTTGGAATTTCTACCCACCAACAATCGGGAATACCGTAAATTTTGACATTTCCAAATATTTCAACTAGTATTTGGCTTACATTTTGAATGAAGATTGGAAATATGTTAATACCAATAATTTTGGTAAACATGGCTATATAAATGGAAGGTTTTAGGTTTTGGTATTATTATTATTAAAACAAAATTTCATTTTTAAATAATAATAGATGAGAAAAATACATAAGTATTCTAGATTTATAATTTTGGGAATATGTTTTTCTAGGTTTGAAGAAGAAACATACTAATGCAAATAAAAACAATTGATTATGAAAAATATCTTTTGTGCTATATTTTTTTCACAGAATTCCTAATAATAAAATAATGTATTATGAAGGAGAAAAAAACTGCTGATTGATGCTGGCTTGTCAACCACGTGCATATTATGTTTTTTTGTGAGTAGCTCTGATTTGAATAATAATTTTTTCTATTACGTGGACTGTAATACATTATGTTTTGAAATTTTACTGCATATTTGAGTGCAGCTGAAAACTCTTCCCAGAAAATCTCCAAGATTCTGTTTCAGAACTGGTTTCCAATACTGTAGCTCCTGATTACTCGTGACGGACAGATAGTCTGGAGTATTTCAATTTTTTTCCGTAATCACTTATACATTGCTGTATACTCCTTTTTAACTGTGAATATGCGTGTGTCCATGGAAGTAAGCCAGGAGTCCACGAAAGTATTGACGGAGTCCACGGGAGAAGCAAAACTTCGATGTGGTGTCCATGAAAGTAGGGCTTGTCCACGAAAGTATGAAAAGTCTCGTGAACAGTCCGCGGCAGCAATTTTCCCCTTGACTACTCTAGGCCCTATGGAACTACGCCCTTCTAGGGCTGCCATAGTTGCTTGGCGAAATCCCTAGATCTGTGGCGAAACTACCTTCGCGAAGTGTCGAGAAGCTGCAAGAAGCAACCAACCAATCAGAGGGCGAGTAGTTTGAGGAGGAGTTGCACTTCGACGATGCCTTCTTGTGGTGCGTACAAGCTGCTGCGCTTTCACAATTAGTGAACTTTTGTGAGTGTGGTTGTATGATGACGAAACGTTACTTATTGAGAGCTCATTCACCATGTCTCTCCAGGAGCTGACGCTGCAGAAGTGTCGGTGACCTGGTGACGTGGCTCGCTCTCCGAGCAAAAGCGGCTGCGTCGGCCAGGAGCACTGTTCCTCGCCCTTGCTGCACTGGGCTTGACTTGGCTGGGGCGCCGCGGTGGCAGCCCGCACCCAGGCTGATGGTGAGAAAACGCTCTCTGAGGATCTATTCCGAAATGACAAGATGTCACGCTACTTCGTGTCATTGAGGATTTTGTCCGTCAAATTTTCTGGTCAATACAAGTGTTGACACGAACTCGTGTGACATTATTTCCTTTAACAACACGCCCTCATCAGGCTGAACCTGACCTCCACATGTTTCATTTATGCCCTGGTATTTGTTTAGGAAGGCGTTTCTAAGCTTACAAAGCGTTAAATTACGTTTTTGCGCGGTTGATACCTCCACCTCCTTAGGTGATTGGTCCCAAACCAAACCAAACCCAACCGACGGAGCCTCCCCCCCCAAACCCCCCCCCCTGCGTCAGGCACGAACTCGTCGAATTCTTTTCCAGACGACTCAAAAAAGCTTTCATCACACCCCGCCTTCCAATGGCGCCTCTTGCACCGAGCTTGGCATTGTAGCCGATCTTGATGGTTGCGTCGTGCACGCACGCGATTATGTTCTGAATGACACAAGACAACGGCTTGGAGCCGTTCTTGCTTGATATAAAAGCGCGAACTGGTACTGTTTACTATAGTAGAGCCTACGAATTTCGCGTAAGTTTTCTCCGTCACATGCCTCCTGTCGCGATGTTGATCATTCAATCCGTTCTCCGAAGCAAGCGAATTCTCCTCGTTGTCGTGCCGCTCGTCCTGCTGCTTCTCGTAGATAAACCCGCCACGACTCACGCTCGCCTTCTACCCTACGTGTTGCCGTACCCGGGCCTCCTGAAATGTGAGCTGCCGCCTGAGCCGTCGCCCGTACTACTGGCGGCGTTCCCTTGGTTTCCGCTATCCGAGTTCCGCACTGTCTTGTTCCGCTGCTCTGGTTCCGCTTTCGCGCATGCTGCGCCCTGACTGACAGCGTCAGCGCGGCGAGCTGTCGAAACTCGTACCTTTCATTCGTTCGCGAGAGTCGTGCGATGATGTGCGCCTTGACTCAGTTTGTGCGCTGATGTGTGCTCTGACGCCTTTTGCGCGGGTGTCACACGTGTTCGACGCTGAACGTGCTGCGCGTTTCTCCTGTATTTCTCCTGTCCGCGTTTCTCCTGTGAGCGCATGCCTGCAGGCGCGCTGACGGCTAACCTCGAGGCGGACCTGGCGCCTGGCGGGGGGGAGCCCGGAGCAGACGCGCGGCTGGATATCCTGGTCTACAGGTGCGACACGTGTCACCGCCCTGGGTGTGCTCCCAAACGGGGTATCATCCCCCACACACACCTTCCTCCCCCACTCCCCCCCCCCCCGTCTTGCCCGCGCTTCAACTTGAGGTCGTGTCTATTCATCCTGATGAGAATGAGAGGGGGAGAGGAGTGCATGGCATGCGTAATTATTGGGATTCGCGGCGGAGACAAGACTCCACCGCACGCAGCTCGCCAGCCCCCGTGAAACACGCTGGCGCGGCGGATGCTGCCGTCCCAGCTTGTGAGTCTGAGAGACGAGCTGGCAACTGAGGAACTCCTGTCAGGTGTGGACCTGGGGAAGAAGCATAAGAAGGTGTGAGGAGATGTGGGAAGGGGTGGAGGATTGGGTGGGAGGTGCAAACGGCGACTGCCACTGACTGCAAAGTCGAGAGTTAACTTCGGAAGAACATGGCGCAGCCCTGTGCCTCCTGTCATTTCTGGAACATCCCCCGTGTTCCCATGGCCGCAGCTGATTCTGTACTTCTGCTCGTTCCCTTCCCCGTGCTCTCTTCTCTTCTTCTCCCCGTGTCACCTCCCCCCCCAGCTACTGCGGCAAGACCAACGTGAAGCTGCACATGCACTACGAGATCCCCTCCCTGGTTATCCCATGCTCCTGCTCGTTTCCATCTCCGTCTTCTCTCCTCTTTTGCTCCCCATGTCCCCCCCTCCCCCTCCCCCCTCCCCCCCAATTCCAGCTACCGCGGCAAGACCAACGTGAAGCTGCACATTCACTACGAGAGTCCCTCCCTGGTGGCGCCCACGGGGCAGTCCATTCATGTGGGCCAAGTGGGCAGCAGCAGCACACCGATCTGGACCATTGAAGGCAACTGGCAGCAAGAAGACAAACCCGACGAGTGGGATTTATCCGTGTGGTATAATGCTGCTGGGAAGTACGTGCCTGCAGGCTCATCAAAATCCGTTTTTAAAATGGTGAAAAGAATTGATAAGGCGTGGTTTAGGCGGTCATTTTATGTGTTGGTGAAAACTGCAGCTTATCCCAATGGGGCATTGCGCGGGCAGATTCGTCGGGATGTGCCCTTCAATTTGATCCCCTGGTCACGTTGCTAGCCCTATGTAGGCCTCCTTTGATATATGTAAATAAGTGTAAAGTCCTTGCATATTTGTTAGCAGTACATGCCCTTGTCATGCTGTAATCCAGTAATATTACCACCTTATTGCGGTTAATAGGAAGCGTTTTAAGTGTGTTGCAAGCGCCAGAGACTGAAGCCATGGCGCCTTGCACTTCGCTTTCCCTTGAGGCCGCTCCGTGCCACCAGCGAGCAACAGTTCTCCATAGCCCCGCCAGCCGTGCTCTTGAATCTATCCCCGCTCTCCGTGTATCCCCACTCGCCACCCATCCCCGCTCAGCGCTGCGTCTTGCTGCTGACGTGAATCCGCGTCACCAGGGCGAGTCCCGAGAGCTGCTGGCTCTTGAGTCTTGACTCAGCGACGCGAATCCCGCTCAGTCGACTCGAGGCGTTGCCCGCGTGCCGTTTGGCGTCTTGCGCGTCACGTGCTGCCTGCTTCGTCAAGCTTTCTGTAGCCTAGGAGTTGAAGAAGCCTAGTAACAACAAAAACAAAAAGCACTGCACACTGTCACAGTTCACAGAAGCCCGACGGTCGGGATTCACTCGGTACCTTCACTGACGAGATGGCGGAGAGCCTACCTACCGTATCGGCGACACAGTAACCTCCAATGATCCTCCGCTCTGCCAGTCGAGCTCTTTCCTCTCGTGCGACCCTCCAACGCGTCGACGTGTCGGACTCACTCAAGAGAGATTCTTGGATCGAATCCAGCATGCCACGTCGGATGGGACCCTCCGACCGTTCCGAGCGCCGCGTCGGGCCCGTTATTGTACCGAGGCGCCATGCCACGTCAGAGCGAGCTCTTCCGAGAAATGGCGCAGGAAGACACTCCAGCAGACATCACGGTACTCGGGGTGGATATTCGAGGCGCCTAAAGAATCGCAAAAAGCCAGCATGATGCCACTCATTTCCAGATGGCATCAAGAGTACTCCGGGCAATTCCGGATTGGCCCGTTCGTCGCGACACCTGGCGCCTTCTCGCGGTCATTCCAGCATGCTGCTGGTCAGCAGCGATAGACTCCACGCCTACCTTGCGGCCTCTCTCGTTCAGAGGCGCCTCGAAACCAGTCTCCGCGCCCTCTCGCGCCCTCTCTCGCAGCCAGCCGTGCTACGAAGCCGAGAGCCGCCGCCAGAATGTGCTGCTGCTGTGCTGGGATTCTTTCATGCGCCACTGGCCCATGCTTTGAGTCGACTCAGAACGACATTACTACCACTCGGATTCTTTCGTGTGCCACGAGCCCATCGTCGATGAGATCGACGAGCGCAATCGCTTCTTCACGAGCTTCGCTTCTTCACGAGCTTCGCTTCTTCACGAGCTTCGCTTCTTCACGAGCTTCGCTTTATCTTCAGACGACCAGCGACTCGGACTCGAGTCTTTTTCTTTCTTAAGATTCTCAACTGCGGTGCACGTGGGACCAGCAACCCACCGACCCTGCGACCCAGCAAACCAGCAAACCAGCGACCCAGAAACCTAGCAACCCAGCGACCGGAACTGAATGGCGCCGGTGATACTTAGAGGTGGGGTGATACTTAGAGGTGGGGGTGTTACTTAGAGGTGAGTGATACTTAGAGGTGGGGGTGATACTTAGAGGTGGGTGATACTTAGAGGTGGAGTGATACTAAGAGGTGGAGTGATACTAAGAGGTGGAGTGATACTAAGAGGTGGGGCCTGCTTCCTCCCTCTCTCCCAACGCCCCCCTCTCTCCCGCTTTCTGCGTGCACTCCTTGCCTCTCGCTTCCCTGCAGCGTGTTTTTGAGAATTCTCAAAAACACCCTGCAGCATTCCTCCCTGTGTTGCTTCCGTTCCTTCTTGCTCCCCACTCCTCCCTCCCTCCCTCCTCCCCCCCCCTTCTCGCCCTGCTCCTCACAGCTCCAGGCTTCCCCATTCGCTCGATCGATCCCGCCCCACTCCTCCCCCTCCCGCCCCTTTCTCCCCACGCCTACACCTCGTCTCCCTGCCCTCCCCCTTCCCCTCCCCCCTCCCCCCCCAGCTCTCCTCTTCTCCCTCGTGGCAGCAGCGCTCGTCTCTCCATGCGCCTCCCAGCTACCATCCGACTGGTTCCTGCCGTGGCCCGGCCGCCTCAAATGTAAGCCCTGCTTTTGCTCTTGAGCCACTTACCTCACCCGTCTCTCTGTGCGCCTCCCAGCTTCAGGGGATGCAAAGGGGGGGATGCAAAGGGGGGGATGCAAAGGGGGGGATGCAAAGGGGGGGATGCAAAGGGGGGGATGCAAAGGGGGGGATGCAAAGGGGGGGATGCAAAGGGGGGGATGCAAAGGGGGGGATGCATAGGGGGGGATGCATAGGGGGGGATGCATAGGGGGGGGATACATGGGGGGGGATGCATAGGGGGGATGCATGGGGGGGGGGGGGGGGATGCATAGGGCGGGCCGTGGGATGCATAAGGGGGGTTGCATAGGGGGATGCATAGGGGGGGAAAGGTGAGTGGACCGGCGGTCCCGTGAGTGGACCGGCCTCCGGTGAGGGGACCAGCCGTCCGGTGAGTGGACCGGCGATCCGGCGAGTGGACCGGCGGTCCGGCGATTGAACCGGCGGTCGGCCGAGTGGGCCGGCAGTCCGGTGAGTGGACCGGCGGGTCGGTGAGTGGACCGGCGGTCCTGTGAGTGGACCGGAGGTCCGGTGAGTGGGCCAGGGGTCCAGTGAGTGGACCGGTGGTCCGGTGAGTGGACTGGTGATCCAGTGAGTGAACCGGCAGTCCTGTGAGTGGACCGGCGGTCACGTGACTGGACCTGCCGTCCTGTATGTGGACCGGCGGTCCCGAGTGGACCGGCAGTCCGGTGAGGGGACCGGCAGTCCGGTGAGTGGACCGGCGGTCCCGTGACTGGACCACCGGTCCCGTGAGTGGACCAGCGGTCCCACGAGTGGACCGGCGGTCCCGCGAGTGGACTGGCGGTTCTGCGAGTGGACCGCCAGTCCAATGTGAAGTGCTCTGCAGTGCTGGTGGAGTGCTCTGCAGTGCTGGTGGAGTGCTCTGCAGTGCTGGTGGAGTGCTCTGCACTGAAGTGCAGTGTTGCTGGAATGCTGAGTGCCGCCTTACTGCTGACTGCCCTCTGCTGCTCTCACCCCCGCTCCCCTATCAACTGAATATTCTTCTTTTGATCCCCTGTGTGTTTGTTCGGCTGCACGCCTCCCCGCATTCAACCTCCCCACGTCAGGCACTCTAGCAGCGAGTCTGAGCGGGCGGCAGGTGATGACGGGCAGGAAGGGCGATCTGCGCGCCACTGGCTCAGCCACCATCTCTGCCTTTGCGTGAGTGAAGCAAGCACCCGGGGTCGCTTCTAGTGTGTCTGTGTATTGTGAGTCACCTGTGGTGTCTCTGTCTATTATGAGTCAACTGCTGCTCTAGGACGCCCCTCTGACGGTCTAGGACCGCACATCCACTGCCAACCAACCCCAGCTACCCTCAGCCACCCCCAGCACTCCGACAGCCTAGCACCCAAAAGCTTTGTACCCTGTATCCCAGCACCCTAGAGCTTTTCACCCTATATCCTACCACCCTAGAGCACAGCACGTTAGAGCCCAGCACCCTAGAGCCCAGCGCCCAAGAGCGCACTGTTAAATTTCTCCATAACTCTACTGTGCTGTGCACAGCCTTGGCGTTCTTGGCTTTAATGCGGGGCTCTTAAATTCTGTCTGTGTGCGTGTGCTGTAATGTGGATGGCAGGAAGCAACATGTTGCTTATTGTGTCTATTCTCAAATCCCTCTGTCATGCTTCCTTCGTGCCACAACCATGGTCTTGGCACCTGCTATTGTTACTTCCCACTTCGTCACCCCTTCTCATGCCATTCCTCGCGATGTGACACCCCTCCCCCTCTCCTTTTCATGGCTCAACCCCCCATTGCACACACCCCCCCGTAACAGGTACTGCTCGCATGTGCATGTGAAGGTGCAGACTCGCATTGTGCCGACATGCTTCCCTTGTGTCCCCCCCTTGTCTGCCCCCAGCCACTCACTCAGCTCACCTTCCTGTGACTCTCCACATGTCACCCCCACACCCCCTCTCCCCCCCCCCCCCTTCACAGGTTTCGCTCCCATGTGCATGTGAAGGTGCACATTCGCGTGAACAATCTCACCGAGCCCTCAGAGCCACTCACTCAGAGCATCCACCGCGGGTGGCGCTGGCAGAACGGGGCCAATGTGTGGGACGTGGACGGCATGTGGGTGCGCAAAAAGGGCGGCTTAGAGCAAGACATGTGGTTCAAAAACGCCAAGACGCTGGTACTGCGCAAGTATGGGTCGGTGTATGGGCTGCTCAGGTGGATGAGTGTTATGCCGGGTTTGTTTTATCTGAATGTGAATACGCAGATGTTTCCTTATGGGGCACTTAGAGGGCAGCTTGTGCCCATGGTTCCATGCTTCAGCCCCAGGGCTGACTTTATCAGACTATTTACTCTGATTAGTCTGAAATCTCAGACCTGTTTTTTGGCCAAACCTGAATTTCCAGATAAGGCATTTTCCCAATCCTGATCCCTTCAGAGTACGATTCTAGGGATCCTGAGAAAATCAGAGTTGTCGCTAACCCAGTACTGAGTTTTCAGAGCACATCGCGTACAGACCCTGACTCATTACCTGTACAGTACCAACCTTCGAAAAATTTGGTGAAGTCCCCAATCGCTAGAGACATGCCCCACATACCCCACAACCCCTAAAAATTTTCGGCCAAGTCCCCGAACCCTAGAGACAACCCCCACCCCACACCCCACAACCCATCTAAAATTTCGGCGAAGTCCCGGAACGCTAGAGACATCCCCCACACACCCCACAACCCACCCTAAATTTCGACTAAGTCATGTTGTCAGATACAGTCCTCCCTAACACCTGGAACAACCCAGAAGTTTTGAATGAGACTTTCACTTTTTTTTGAACTGCATTGAAATGAGAGTAAATTCCGCATTTTTAACATAGGGAAATTCTCGCCAGTTGCCCGTTTGGTCAACTGAAAGTCTAACAAAATGTAACGGTCACGATCGTTTGCGATCGTTTCGACGTATATCAATCGTTCGATGTTATATAGCGATTAACGTCCAAGATTTCCCAACCGGGGCGCTGCAAGGGCGCGAAATTTCTCCCACCCTCCTATTCCCCAGCTTCCCCCCTCCCTGCCGTTTCGATTCCCCCCTTCCCCTCCATTTTCGCTTCCCCCCTCCCCTCCGTTTCGATCACTTCCCCCCTTCCCCTCCGTTTCGCTTCCCCCATCCTCTCCGTTTCGACCGTCCCCCCCTTCCCCCCCCTCCCCTCCGGTTCGCTTCCCCCCTCCCCTCCATTTTGATTCCCTCCCCCATTTCCCCGTCATTTTCTATTCTCCCTCTCCTCAGTTTCGATTTCCGTGGCAGTGCGATTTTACCCCCTCGGTTTTTAGGAATAACTTCCCCGTTTCCCACATTTAACAACTACGCAAAACGAGGGTGGACAAGGTTGCTGGTTGGGGGGGGCGCGGGCTGTGGGAGGATTTTTAATGCTGCAAGGAACTTAGCCGATTTTTTGGGAAATGTAGGAGGGAGGGATGTTTCTCGCTGTGGGGGTGTTTCCCGTGTGTGATTCTGGTTGTACGTCCTGGACCCTGAAAAAATCAGACTCGCTGAGTTCTGGACCCTGACATTTCAGACTACAAAAATTTCGGCTGAAGGCCCTTCAGACTATTTTTTTTTTGGGTGGGATTGGCTCAGAGTGCCTTTTTTTGAAACGTCAGCCCTGTTCAGCCCCCTGTAATAGAGTGGTTCAGAACGAGGATGTATGGATGGACGGTTGATTCAGCTTCTGGACTATAGGCTTGCTTTGCAAGTATTAGATGGAATCCTAGCAACTCTTAGCCTCGAGTTATGATATTATGTAGATGTGTTAAAAGATTTTCATTTTAGACTCGATTTGTTATATATACGGTAAATGAAATTCAATTGTATGCAATTTTTATCTTGATTTTAACTGGCGTTTAGGGTAGCCAGAACCGACGGTCTGTCCAATGACAAAACACTCCGTCAGCATGTAATTTGTCGGCTGGCCGTCATTCGGTGCCTCACAGCCACGCGCCGTCATTCGCGCTGGGAGAAGGCTCCTCCACGTCAGCAATGAAGGGGCATTGTTGGTCTGCTGGGAGACGCGGTTCGTGATGCCTGTACTATGCGGTATTGCCCCACCCATCACCATAAAATGTTGCATTTTCGCCCCATTTTGCAGCCCCGCAATTAGCGCTTCTTGCAACTTCCTTTGCTGAAACGCGTTCCAACCAACCATACATTTCTCAACAGGATTTCGCGTTCAAGAAACCATCAACACACGCAGCGCACCACACGCTAGTTACCGCACACACCTGTCCACAGCAAGGTTCAACGGGTCTACTCGATTGCAACCATGGCGCGCAGGCTGCGATCAGTCACAGGTGGGCGTTTTCCCGAATTGATCGGATGGAAAGCCCTGTGGTGTGTTTGCAACTCTCGACTCTGCGGCATCACGGTGGTTGCGAAGCTCGCATAGCCGCTTAGTTCCTATCATCCCCACGCTCCGATCTTAGACGTTATCCCTTATCCTCCCGTCTACGCCGCGTTCTTTTTTTCCCCGGGGCAGGCCTCGTCCCGCTTCTACTCCTCGCTATCCTCGCCCGAGCCACCACCGCCTCTGCAAATCATCCCGACGTTGCGAGTCGTGACGTCGGAGTCGCGGCGAATCATAACGTCGCGGACGGCATCGCGCTGAACGACACGCGCTCGCTGTTGGAGATCGGAGTCACTCCCACGCATCGCGCGTCGAGAAAGCTCGGCATCCTTCCGTTCCCCGGCTTCCTCAAATGTAAGCACGGCTGTTTTCTCATTCCTTATCTGCTGTTTCTCATTCCTCATCTTCTGTTTCTCATTCCTCGTCTTCTCTTTCTCATTCCTCGTCTTCTGTTTCTCATTCCTCATCTTCTGTTTCTCATTCCTCATCTTCTGTTTCTCATTCCTCATCTTCTTTCTCAAACGTTTCCTTCTCTCCGAGATAATACATTCTTGCAGATTTCCTCGTACGAATTTCCTAGACCATCAGGTTGGACCCTATTAGTACACATGGGCAGCGTCGAGGATTGAAGCGCTGCGTGGAAAGCGGATTGAGTTGTCTTAAAAGCGCGCTCTGCTGTACTCTTGCGTGTGCCGTCACGTGGCAAGTCTCCTGGTGCGGGCAGCGTCCAGTCCGTTTGAGGAGGCGTTGGTCTCGGTGTGCTCTGAAAATTAGTCTCTGTACGCGCGCGTGTGCCGTCACATGGCAGGTGCCCTGGTGGCATACACGCCGCATGCGGGCAGCGTCAAGCTCATCTTAGGAGGCGTTGGTTCTCGGCGTGCTCGGTAGACACGATGCGCGAATGAATCTCTGTATGCGCGCGCGCGCGTGATACGCGTGTGTCACGACGTGCAGGTGCGCTGGTGGCGTACAAGGATGCGTGCAGCGTTCAGTCCAACTTTGGGGGCGACCCTGGCGCTGGTCTCGGTGATGCACCAACTTGAAGTTAAATATAGAGGCGCTCTGTAGTGAAATCTTTCTACGTGCGCGCGAGTGGCGGTGCAGGTGCGCTGGTGGCGTATATGGATGCGGGCAGCGTCCAGTCCATCTTTGGGGGCGACCCTGGTGCTGACGGCGTGGCGCTGGTGCAAGTGTACAGGTGGGAAGGGGGGTTGGGGTTGTTGAGCAATCTGAGAGATGCGGATATGTTATGCATGCGGGCACTGAACACACACTTGTGCGCATGCGTGAGCGCATGCACGCACGCACGCACGCGCACACACACACACACATGCACACACACACACACACACACACACACACACGCACACACACACACCTGTGTACAACGGTCAGACCAACGTCAACGAACGCCTGCGGGCGCACGCCCTCTCCTCCTCCCCCATCTTCGAAACACAATGGCTCTACCTTTGCCCCAATCCTCCCCCCCTCCTCCACTTCCCCCTCCCCCAAACCACCCTCTTCCCCCCCCCCAGGTACAACAGCTAGACCAACATCAACATCCACCTGAGAGTGCACGCCCTCTCCTCCTCGCCCCTCATTCTATCAGTACTCTGTTTGCTTTAATTCTGTCCCCCCCCTTCTTCCCCCCCTCCCTCCTCCTCTCCAACCTCCCACTTCCGGCCTTCAGGTACAATGGGCGGACCAACGTGAACATCCGCCTGAGAGCACACGCCCTCTCCTCCTCACCCATAACCCAAACGGTCAACAAGGCGTACTCGGGCAGCAACGGGCTGCCCGTGTGGGTAGTTTCCGGGCAGTGGTCGCGCGACAACAACAACGACGTGTACACCCTGCAGAAGTGGTACTACGAGGCCAATAAGAAGTACCCGCCGGGGTCAACCAGCTCGGTGTACTCCATAGTGCGGGCCATGGCGGCTGATCCCAGGAGGTACTATGCGCTGGTGAGCTCGCTGACTCGGCCGCTCGGGGCGATCCGAGGGCAGTTCCGGCGCACACTGCCGTTCCTGCTGTACCCATGGAACCCGTGCTGAAGTGCTGCAGTGCTGCAGTGGTCAAAAGGACGCTAGGAGCTGCCGAGGTGCACTGGCTAGGATGGCGTGAGTCCCGAAGCAGACAGTGTGAAGTCGGTGCTAGTAGTGTTGCGTGCATTGTGGTACCGTAGCTAGTTGCCTTGGGTCAGGGTGGGTTGGGTTGGGTTGGGGGGTGTAACAACATTGGCAATAGACGAAGAGCTGCCATTTGCGCTCCATTCCCTCAACCTGCTCCCTGGTCTGGTGCTCTCGCGTCCTAGCCGAGACATACCAGTTGATGTAGGAACCAACTCTCCTCACGCTTGTACAGCAGCTACCTCGTACCCACCATGAAGGACATACTGCACTGAAGCACATGCTCGGGATGGCGAAGATCACACCTACTGGGTATAAAAAGAGCCATACTACTACTGGTACTACTACTACTACAACTACTGCTACTACTACTATGTACAAGCAGGCAGTGACATACAGTCAAGGCGCAAGAGCCAGCTGGTACACATGCCCCCTGGACCACTGGTCACCCTTGGGAAGCTGATTGAACCACCAGATGTGTGCTGGTGCCAGGAAACGCAAGCAGGGCAAGCCCGTGCAGAGCAATGGCAGCGCAAGGCCATGGACACCACTCACTCCCGCTCTGCCGAATTTGCCGCCCGCCCCTCGCCCCTCATGTGCCTGTCAAAGTTCACTTTGTACAGCAGCGCATTCTGCTCATACACACTCCTGCTTTGAGACATCTTAAAACTCGACCGGACGAGGTCTCAAAGCCCCTCGCCCCTCATGTGCCTTTCTAGGTTCACTTTGTACAGCAGCGCATGCTGCTCATACACACTCCTGCTGCTGCTGCCGCCGCCGCTTCTGCCGTAGTAGGAGCCCGCACCCCCTGTGCCACCAGCAGCAGCAGAATTACACTCCCAGATACTATCCTGCACCAGAGTGTAAACCTCACTCACCCCTCCCTCCCCCTCTCTCACCCACCTTCTCACTCCCTCCCTCTCACTGCCATCTGCTTCCTGCCAGCACCCCTTCTCACTCACCTCTCCCGCCCTCTCCCAAACTGACCCTCCACCACCAGCAGCAGAGGGCTGTACACCGAGCGGCAACACTTCATTGGGCTTTAAGTCATGAGAAGCGTGTGAGGCATGAGAGGCATGAGAGGCATGAGAGGTATAAGGCAGTTCCAGGCACGACTCCAGGGGCCCGACAGCCTTGAGGCGGGACGGGGTGTGCGGCGCTGCAACGCGCGGCTCCAGTGGCTTATTGGATGCCATGTCACACGAGCCGTAACCCCCATTGCCCTGCATGTCTTCCCCCTCTCCTGGCAACACCCCCTTGGGCTCTGCCGAGCCATGCACACTGCCTTCAGCATCCCCCCCCCCTCCGCTGTGCTGAGGGTCCTTCTCAAGAGGGTCGGTGCTCAGTCCCAGGCGCAGGGACAGATCCAGAGAGTTATAAGCTGGGTCTCTCGCTGACTTCGGGTCTCTTCCATGAGAAGTGACACTAGAGAGAGTGACAGGCGGACCGTTGCTGGGAGGTGTGACAGTATGGGGGGGAGCGGCAGCCGAGGTGCACAGAGGGCTTGTGCTCATAGAGAAAGAGGCGAGAGGGGCGACGGCAGCAGGGGCTGCAGGGGGGACGACAGCAGCAGGGGCTGCAGTGAAGGGAGGAGCAGCAGGGGCTGCAGTGAAGGGAGGAGCAGCAGGGGCTGCCGCTGTATATACAGGGATTGCTGCAAGGCAGCCCGGCTGGAAGTTAGCAGCAGGGAGGGGCGCGAGGTTGATGCGCCCGCTGCATGCCGTTGGAGGGGTTTCAAGAATCTGCTGTGGCGCAATCCCCTCCGCGTGTGCATGCACGCCCCGCTGCTGCTGCTGCTCCTGCTGCTGCTGTTGCTGCTGCTGCTGCTGCCAGCCTCGCGAGCCAATCCAGTCATGGCACGTTAAGACAGACTTCGAGTCCCACACCCTCCCACCAGCGCCATGCTCCCCGTTTCTCCCAGAGAAATGCGGCCAACTTCCCCCCCTTCCCGCCCTTCCCCTGCTCCCCCCGCTTCCCCCGCTCCCTCCGCTTCCTTCCCCTGCGCCAACCCAAGCACCCACAGCTTCCGCCAGAGCATCTCCGTTCCAGCTCCGCGCCACTAGCTCCGCCGAGCTCGGGAAACTAGCGCAAGCCCGCAGCGCGCCGCGCCGAGAATCCCCTCCAGGCGCGTCATTCACGCCGCGCTGTCCAATAGGCGCCTCCCTCAGGCCAAGGCGCGGCTGTCCCGCCGACAATGACTCCCACGGCCGCTTCCGCGCCTCCCGCCACTGCCGCTGGGCGGCAGTAGGCGCGGCGAATGCGCCAGAATCGGCAACGGTTCCGCGCGCAACGACAGGGATTCGTTCCGCGTCTCCCGCGACCCCGCGCGCAGAGCTCGACGCGGCGCCGCGCCCGAAGAGAGACTCGTAAGCCTCGTGTGTCGCTCCGCCGCACGAGTCGTGCGGGACAGCCGCGTCGCTCCTGGCCGCGACGTGTCCCGCGGCGCGCCTCTCCCCGACGTGCGCATTGCTGCGGGGAAGGGACGCGCCTACATTGCCGCCGTGGCGGACGCGCAGACCGCGCGGCGGGACATCCGGAGGGTCGGGGGGCGGTGGGTTGGCGGGGACCGCCGCGCGAAGATAATCATTATCAGGGGGATGATGGGCCGCCATGAGCAGCGGCAGCCGGCAACCGCCGCTAAACCGGCCTGACTCACGCTGAACCCCGGCGGGGCCTGGGCAGCACTGCTGGAGACGGCGGAGACGGCTGCACGGCAAGGGGAGGCTCCGTTGCTCCGCTGGTTGCGCCGGTGGAGTGAATACAAGGACGGCTAGGGGAGGCGACGGAGCAGGTAACGGAGCAGTGATAAGGGTGAACCGCGACGAGAGATGAATAGAGAGCTCTGGGTTGAGCGTGAGCGGGGCACACGCCTGTGAATGCTTGGATTCGAAGCGGAGGTCACGAAATGGACTGCTGACTGCGATGGGGACAATCAGTTTCGTGACCTACCAGTTGGGACGTTGCTCGAGGGCGTTGCTCAGGACCGCCGATCTACCTCTCTCGATTTCTGGCCGGGACGACGCCCAGCATTTGCCAGCCATTCGCAGTTCGCGACGCGATGCGCGAAGCCCAGCGCTGTTCTGACCAAATATGGCCTGGTAATGTGCGTCGCTTATTCGGAAACGAAGGCGAGCAAGTGCAGGCGGATGAGCACTGATACGTGTATTGTACGACGATCGTCCCGTGAGTCATTAGTCGTGAGTCGTGAGCTGTCAGCCATCGCTGTTGGAATCGAAATGCCGCCACGGTGACAGGAAGGCATTTGGGAATGAATGCCGACCGAGATGTGTCAGCCAATGCGCGAACGGCATTCCAGCCAATAGTTGAACCCATCACGTGGGCTGTTCCGTGATTCCTAACTTCCTGATTGGACGTCCAAGAACTCGCGGTTTCCACGAAGGCCGCTAACCACGGTCCCCAGAAACGCGCTCCGCGGCCTTATAAATGTATCCGAGCTAGCCTTTCGGCGAAAAGATAGAATCTGCAATGGCGGTTGGTTAGCTCCCAATGGACAGAGAGAAGACAGCTGGAGTGGGAGCGGAAATCAGGAGTCGGGTTCAGATCCCCGACGATTATATTCGAGTGAAAACTGAGTGGCGACGGTGCGATTTCTTCCTGATAGAATCTGGTGCGTCTGTCTGTCACGGGGACACGGGGGGGAAGGGAAGGGAGGTGCATGGGGAGGGGAGGCCCTAGGGGGAGGGAGGTCTACTCTACAGGGAAGAGGGGAGGGTTGGAGGGGGGTGGTGGTGTGGGGACCGGGTCTTGGGGGAGGGTGTGGAGGTGGGGGGGGGGGGGGGAGAGAGTGTGTGGGGGGTGGGGGAAGGGTTTTAGGGGAGGGGGAGGGGGAAGAGGGGGAGAAGAAGGGCTGCATGATTTTGCCGTTAAGGGGTACAGCGGGTATGCCATTAGGTCCGTGACATTTTACTCCATATAATACTCCAAGGTCCAGAATTTGATAAGATCCACCACGATGTACTCCGTCGGTATGGTATACATCTACTGTTAGACTTCGTTTAAAAAACGCAAAAGAACATAGTGACCAATCACGACAGTCGCATAATTCCACCGACCATCGATTCGCGCCACCCGAATCGGGTGCGATCGCAGTCTGCGAGCGTCGCCTACCAACCCGCGAGTGCGAGCTCGGAAATTCCCCGTGAATTGTGCTTGGAATTGCCCGGCCAATACGCGCTTGCTAGGGCGATCCGACGTAAGCACGACGGACCGGGGGGGCGAACACAAAATCACATACTCCCGTCCACTTGTCACTTTTGCATGTGCGCTGACATGGGCATGAATCCGTACCCCCTTTTCATCCATTTTGTCTTATTATTACGGCCCTATTCTAATCCTCGAGTCAAGAGCATTCGAGGCATTTTCCATATTTTAGAACCAATCACGTTCATATTCAGACTTTCCGCGTGACACGAACAGGTCCGTCACGAATACGAAAACATGACCCACGGTCCCTCAATCACCATTAACAACTGCACATCTCGAAAAGGGTTTTTCTCAAGGGTTTTTTTCCAGTCGATAAAACGTGTGACTGGTTAACGAAACCGCTCAATTCAGTCGTCAAAATTTCGTTCCGTTAAGCCCTTTTTGTGAGACCACGAAGAGGGTTTTCCAAATTATTTGATTTGCGCGTTTTGAGCCTGCGCTGCTTGCGGGCAGGTCGAGAACAAGGGGTTACTTCTTTTGTCCGCGATAATTCTGACCAGACCCACAAATTCGCTGAGTGTTTTTAAAGAAGCCACATGAGCCCTTACATGACACGCGGCGAAATCGCTGGTAATATGGCCCATTGGCGAATACGCCAAGGCACTCATCGTGAACAAAAAGAGTAAAACGGCCTACGCCACCCCACCTAAAACCATTAGTGCTACTAGATTATCCATTTTGCCCGTTGTGAACCGCTCCTATTCGCCGTAGTCCATATTTGCGAGTCGCGGATTTGGAGCATAGAGCATACCCGCTGTAGCATGCAAGCCAGGGCGGGAGTTTTTTTTATGGTGGGGGAATATGAGGGGGTGGAAGGAAGAACCGTAG